CGCCCCTGTCTTGGCAAGAGCTAGAAGGTGAGCGTGCCAGCTCCTGTGCACACAAGCGCTCAGCATCCTGGGGCAGCACAGACCACCGAAAAGAGGTAGCTACCCACTTTGACTCCCTGCCTAGGGTAGCGGCTTCTTCTTGATCCCCTAGTACCATGTGATGCATCTCCTCCACAGTGGAGTCACACTGCTCACCTCTCCTGTCTTGACCTGGCCTTTTCCTGATGAGATGGCTCCTTCCTAGCTGACTTCCACTCTCCAAGTGGCCAGGTCTTAGGAGCCCAGACCCTTCTGCTAGGAAGGGGCTTGGCCAGAGGCTGCTAGTGCCTTTCAGCAGCAAGCACAGGGCTGGAGCCACCATTGTTCTCGCTTTACTTTGGGGTTGGATCCAGATAAGCAGCTCAGAGACTGGAGGAAGACAGGGAGGGAGTTCCTGGGAATTAGGAGCTCCCAGTCTCATTTACTTCTTAACTATTCATCTTTTTTTTTTTTTTTGGAAGCAGAGTCTCACTGTGTTGGCCGGGCTGGAGTACAGTGGCATGATCTCAGCTCACTGCAACTTCTGCCTCCTGGGTTCAAGCGATTCTCCTGCTTCAGCCTCCCAAGTAGCTTAGATTGCAGGCACCCACCACCACACCCAGCTAATTTTTGTATTTTTTTTTTTTTTTTAGTAGAGACGGGTTTCACCATGTTGGCCAGGGTGGTGCTGAACTCCTGACCTCAGGTGATCTGCCTCCCTCAGCATCCCAAAGTGCTGGGATTACAGGCGTGAGCCACTGTGCCCAGCCCTAGCCTTCTTTTCAAAAGAAGAGAAAAATAATGAAATGTTCCCAAACACTTTTTCCTGGCCCTCCCTCTCCCTCAGGAGTGCTCAAGTCATTGAGGTTAAGGGGAGAAAGCTGTAGGCTGGAATATTCCAGGGGTCCCCATCAGCTCCTCCTGACATGCTCTGTGGCACCTTCTGAGAGGGTCAACTCGATAGGACTCACCCTGCACCCCTTTACAAGAGGAAGTTGCTTCTGCCCTCTGTTGCTGAGAACAATGAGAAAATATGAAGTGAATACGTTGAGAGCTTAAGACGGGGAAATAAAAAATATTTAAACTTTTCAATGGTCAGAGTAAGTTATTTGCACTAAGAATGGGGAGATGTGGTATGAGTGACCCACAATAGCATATCGGAAAGTTCTTTCTTCTTGGATCTAGTCATAAATTTTATGGCTGTGGGCAGCAGATCTACTCTCTGAATTCCATTTAGTGTGGGCTTATATTTAAATAGCTCTTCATCCCCTGAGCATTTAACAGTTGAGGGCAAGAAGGTCCAGAATTGCACATGTGATGGGATAATATTCAAAATTGTTGATGATAATCTGTAATAGTCTCAGGATATGAAAGTCAAGATGAAATCCAGTATTCCCTTCTTGAGTGTCTATCCCTGTTCCTAGTGTAGTCTGCTTTAAACAGGGGAGAATATCCCCATCCTTCTTGGTCTCAGGGCCTTTGAGATGTGAATGTACTCTGAGGAGTGAACTGCCCTTAGCATTCAGAAACATCATCTTCCATTGCTATTTATAGATGGGTAGGGCCGGGCACGATGGCTCATGCCTGTAATCCCAGAACTTTGGGAGGCTGAGGCGGGTGGATCACGAGGTCAGGAGTTCAAGAGCAGCCTGGCCAAGATGGTGAAACCCCATCTCTATTAAAAATACAAAAATTAGCTGGGGGTGGTGGTGGGCACCTGTA